ATAGCCGAGTTTTGGTCCGATAAGACCCAGGATCGCGGCGGCCAGAGGCCGACGACCGATTTTCCGGTGAATAATTGGTCTTAGGCGCCGCGTTTTCGAACAGAGCTTATTTTCATATCTGTATAAAGAAAATGGATGTTGAGGAGGGGGGGGGGGTGAGAAGCCTATCACCCGTTCGCTTTCATAATGGTCGTACATCATTTTGCAGTATATTCTTCTTAATGTTTTTCAATTGCATCTTGTCCGGATCCACAGTTGTTTTCTTCGGACTTTAAGACCAAAAAAAATGAAGATAATTTTTTTTCAGAAATGGTACAACTAGTATAACTAATACAACATGTAAAAAATAATTTATCCTAATCAAATATTATTGAAAGCAAACTATTTATTTATTTTGACACATGCAAGCGGGGAAACGATTAGACCAACATGTCTCATTGGTTCTATATCATTCTACTGATAGCATCATTCATACGCTGAAAACAATAACCAAATATCACCATATTAATTGCAAAATTGTACTAGTTATACATTTTTTAGTTGTACCAATTATACTGGTTATATTCAACCTAGTTATACTGATTATATTCATCTAGTTGTACTAGTTATACTGTTTAGAGTGGTACTAGTTGTACTAATTCGAGTTGTACTAGTTGTACTAGTAATACTCTGTGTTCTTCCATGTCGCGATTTTTACATAATGAAGATGAAATACGTTTTAGAAAAGAAGAAATCAATTAAGGACAATAGTATGTTGATCAATTTGGGATAATAACAAGAAAACAAGCATAGATTTGGGTTAAGAACAAGAAAACCAAAATTAGATTGTGAGAGATGAAACAGACTGTGTTTTGATTTGGGGATTTAGGGTTACAAATGGGTCGTGTTTTGGGTCAGGAAACGTGTCGGATTTTGGGTAGGATAATAGTGGCGTGGATTGTAAATAAGTTGATATCTTCTGGTTTTTTAGTTATTCACATTTGTTTTGTAATTAAATTTTAATGTAAAATAAATACAAATAAGGAGAGGGTCATTTTAGAATTTTTCAAACCTATGTGTGTCATGGGAGAATTTGATCCATATTTTTAGGCTTAGGAGTATTTTGGAAGACACTGATGTTTTTGAGCATTTTGGAGAGAAGTAGAGAAATCACTCAATTTGGATAACGACCAAGACATTGAGGTCGACACGGAGTGTTAATAATCGATCGATATGCTCTTCGCAGTATTGATCGATACCGAAGGCGCGGAAGACCAATTCGCGACCCAGTCGAATAGAAGCCCAAGACTTCACCAAATTACAATTATGCCCCTGGCAAATTTTTACCTAAGTATTTATACTTTGCCAAGGTGTTTTAGGAAAAAGAAACTTTCTTGTATTCTTATTTTTCACAACAAAAAGGTTTCTTAAGATTTTTAGAGTTGGAGAGAAGATCCAGATAGATTTGTGATTGGAACTCCATTATTATCTATCTATCTATTTTTTAAGTTTATTTACTTTGCTTGTGTTATGAATTGTTTAGCTATGTCTCAGTAATTTACTTGTTAGGTTTAGGGTTCAAATAGGTTAGAGGGATTAGCCTCAACTATAGGATTGCTTGTTGTGGTATTCATTAATAGAATTGTTCTTACTGCTTCTGTCCTAGATTTGCTAACTAGGAACCTGAATCTAGGAATTTGGATTGTTATAGCGAGAGCTAAACAATATTGACTTCCTGAATCAATTCTATTAAGCTAGGATTTTCTAGAAACATGGTGAGAGCTTGATCTAGAAATCTATAGTGAGTATATATTAACTCGCGCATAAAGCTTAATTAGCCTCATCGATCGATATTCCTATCGGAAATCGATCGACATCATGAGAAGTGAATCGATTGATATTCATATAGAATAATAAGTTGTTCGTTGTTCTATTTATAAGCGTTTGTTTGTTTTTTTAATTTTATTTAAGCTGTTCATTGTTCCAGGTATCTCATATAAGCATGTTTGTTTGTTTTTTAGTTTTATTTAAGGTTTTCATTGTTCCACGTATCTGATATAACCATTTTTTTTGTTTAATTTGTAACAGGTGCAAGTTACATGGTCATAACTGCCCACTTCGTTGATGCAACTTGGCAGTTGAAGAGCTCATCATAGGCTTCAAGTATGTGATGGACCATAAGGGTCAGACAATTTCAACTGTGCTCTTGGAGTATTTAGCTGAATGGGGGCAATGAGAAGGTATTTTGCACAGTAGACAATGCAACTGCTAATACTTCTATCATTAAGAGATTCCATATGAATTTTAGTGATGTTTCCCCTGAGGCTTTAGTTCTAGATGGGAGTTTCTTGCAGATGAGGTGTTGTGTTCACATAATTAACTTAATTTCTAAGGAGGGTTTAGCCAAGGTAGGAGAAAACGTGTTAGCCATTAGGAACACTATTCAGTATGTTCGTTTTTCAACACCTAGGCTTAATGCATTTGATCTTAAAGTCACCACTGGAAGAATGAGCCGTGGTAGCTTGCCTATGGATATTAAGACTAGATGGAATTCAACCTTCCTTATGCTGTCTAGGGCTCTTCAGCTTAAAACTGCATTTGATAGGATGGAGGTAGAAGATAGGTTGTATAATGATTATTTTTTGGAGATGGAAAATGGGGTTAAGAGGTGTTGACGGCCCTCATTGAGACACTGGAGTGCTGTTGTGAAGCTTAAGAGGTTTCTGATAGTATTTTACAACAGCACTTTGGTTGTTTCTGCCTCATCCTAGGTGAATTCGTACAAGTGCTATGAAGAGATAGTGACCATAAAAAGAAACCTCACTGCCCTTCCAACAGCTTCAGTTCTGAGTCGAAGGTCAAAGCAGCAGAGATGTTGCAGAAGTTTGTGAAGTACTGGGATGGTATTAAGAGTGTCAACAAGATGCTGATTTTAGCCACAGTTTTTGATCCAAGGAAGAAGATACAATTTTTAAAGCTGTGCTTTGAGAAACTCTATGAGAAAGAGAGCTTAGAGTCTAATGCAAAGCTTAAATCTGTTGGTATCTTCTCGAGTGTATGTTCAAGGAGTATAACACAAATTTCAGAGTGTCTACTGGACAAGCCACTCAGTCAAATCCGGCATCATCTTCTCAGCCTACTCCTGAGTCGCAAGATCAAGGCATGGATAGAATGGAGCTGGTGGTTGAAGATTTTGGTTATGAGATGATGGATTGTGTGTACAAGGATCTGGTTGCTGAAAAGGGAGAAGATACAAGGGATGAACTTGAAGTGTACTTGAAGGAGGTAGTTGAAATTCCTAACCATTTGCTTGGTACTTAGTTTGACATTCTCTCTTGGTGGAAAGTTCACAAGATGAAGTATCATGTGCTTGCTGAAATGGCAAAAGATCTCCTCGCCATGCAAGTTTCATCAGTGGCATCCGAAAGTGGTTTTAGCACAAGTGGTAGGATCTTGGATCCATATCGGAGTTGTTTAACTGATTACATGATAGAAGTTCTCATGTGTACTGAGCAATGGATGCATGCTGACATCAAGGCTAGTGAACAAGTCACTACAAATGATTAAATGGTTGCTGATGTGGAGTTACTTAATCGACTTCAGAAAGGTATGTGTTCTCTTCACTTAGTTTTTGTTTATTATCTTATGTAATGTATGTGTTTATCTAGCTGGTTTCTTATGCTTTGTTTTCATGTTGAAGAGTTTCAAGCCCAACGGCTTGATGATTGAAGCTTCAAGGTCGAAGCATGAAGTAGAAGAAGGCGGCTGAAGGTTGAAGCATGGAGCTTGAAGTTTTCTGTATTTGGTTTTCATTTCTTTGAAGTTTGAATAATGTTTCTCATTTTTGTTTTAAGAATTTGGTTATGGCTTTAGCTTTGTTTGCATTGTCTGAGTTGATACGTTGTTCTCATTTTAATATATTATCAACAATAAAGGTGTTTCTTTTTATTCAGTCTCGCCTTCGGAGTTTTGACCATTTTGTATGTCTTATTTCTGTGCTTTTGTCGCTTACTCGCATCGCAAGTTAGAAATTATTTTGTTTTGTATTGGTTACATTCGCTATAAGTAGTATAATTATGAACCGAAATACCAACTCAAACCCGATACTGAAAGTATTCCGGGTTATACCGGTTCCCCGACATTTTACCAACCCCGACCCGAACCGTATAGCCCCCGAACCGATCGTCAATATTACGCGAATGGGGCTGGTTTTCGTTAACCAAGATCACCCAAACCCGATTAGGATGGACCTGACACTCAAATGGTACACCGGTTTCCCTATATAGGATTATAATCTCCAATGCCTGAATAGAAACCCTAAATCTAACGCCTTTACAATTAAGTTTCAACACTCAATCAATTTAGTGCTACTTTGGTCAATTAAGATACTACCATTTATTGTTTAATCTCATACTGTAAATTTACGCTAATCTTGACCTAGAATTATTACTTGATTAGATTTAATTGGTTCTCTAACTTCTTGTGGATTCGATCCCTAAATACTATAGTTGATCTCTTATTTGAGAGAGTAAGTCACTCTCTAGGGTAATTTGAATGATATCATTCCCATAACCAAACAGCCAAAGTCTTTAATCTTTAACTCTTTCCCCTCTCCAACAAATTTCAAGCCCAGTTCTCTGATTCAAATGTAACTTATGTTGATATCTTCTCTATCAAATCTTGTCTCATTGCTAATTATTCTCGATTCGGTCAGAATTATTAACTATTTTAGTCCTAAATTGACACTTTTTGTTCATACAGTGTTAAGAAATGTTCGTTATTTTGGTTTAACAACAAATTTCTACTGTTTCAGGTTTTAGTTTGTTTCAAATCTTCTATAGGCTAGTTTTTTAATGATAGTTCTGAGATTGTAAATTGGAACGGGATTCACTATACTGAAGCCGCAAACCATTTCGATTCAAATCAAATTTTAACCGGGAAGTATTCCCACCCACCGTTTTCAGCTCAATGCCATTTCTTCTAAACATAAAATTTTAATAAAGTGATGTCCCTATTGGTTGGTTTCAACCATTATTTCGGTTTTGTTGTCATATTGTGTATTTATATACCTATATTGCTCAAATACCGATATACCAAGAAACCATAACAAAAACAAATCATGATAAAACCGGGTTGGTAGCAATGTTATGACCTGGCCCAGTTTGGTATATACGAGAGTGAGCCAATACACTACTTCTTGGATACATAAGCATAGTACTGAGCCATGGGAACAACAAAGGCAATTACCAGCAAACCTCCAACGACAAGACTGAACTGTCCTCTCTTCTCTTCGGTTTCTTCTTTGGTTTTAAAATTTGATTCTCTCTTGTTATCCTTCACTTCTGGACCACCGGGATCCGGGAGACCGTCTATTGCTGCAACCAACCGTTTTGCACTGCTGTATATTGCCTCATTGTATTTTTCGTCCGTGGCTAGTACTGCACCATCATATACTCAAACTCTCATCATGTCCAATAAAAACCACGGAGACTACAAATAATAGGTTCTATTTTGGTCAGTTTTATTTTTAAACCCACACAAATCCACCTTTGAAAAAGAATCTTAGTTTCAGCATCTCTATTCTGAAATTCTAACATTGCGGTGTACTCTATACCCGACCGGGAGGAAAAGTTACCGGGAAGATTTTCCGAGACGGTAGCATCAAGAATCTTTTCACCAACAGCTTCAATGAAAGCTGGACCACCAGTAATGGCTCCTTCCTTCTGACTAGTGATCAAAACAACAATACCCTTATTGTTGCCTTCTTCAATCGAAGGATACCATTTCTCCAAAACCTGGTCTGCATACTCAAACGCATCTGCCTTACTCTGCAGTTAACACAATACCGGTTCCGGTTCAAATTTCGTTTCACACATATATATTTATCATAAAACGAAACTCACAGTGAGCTTTCGGACAGTGATGAAATTGAGTCGGAGTTTCTTTCTGTATTCAAGATCAGACAAAAGTTTCTTCAGATCTGATCTCGTGACTCGACTAAGAACACCAGCGTCGTCGACAACGTAAGTTTCTTTGGGCGGACCATCGTTCAGAATATTGAACTCAGAGGCTACGGCAGTGCCAACAGGTGAGAAACTAAGAGCTAGAGATAGAGCTAGAGCAGCTAGTCCTTGCTTTGCATCTCTTAACCAAGCGTCTGGTTTAGCACTAAACTGGCTGGAAATGTGTTTCGGGCCGGAGACAGTGGAATTCGATAGAGCCAAGAAAGAAGAAGAACTTGTGAGTCTGGATTGATGGGATGATGATGGTTTGGGAATGAGAGGAGGAGAGAAAGAACAAGGAGAGAGAAGGGTCTCCATTTTCTATAGAAAGAGTGTGTGCTCAGTGATGGAGATTCTCTTGCATTTTCTTGTGTTTGTTTGGATCGGGAACGTGAAGGATTGGTGGAAATGTTAGATTCTGGATAATGTTTTATTTCATGGCTAAGGTCAACCACAGTTTTCTTCTAACATTTGCAACTATGTGGCAACGTGGCGTTTTACTGTTGACAAGAAACAATCCAAATAAAATTATAAATTAAAATATCACACTATATTCCTTCTAAATACATGATTTTTATTACCATATAATTCTTTTTTCATATAAAATATTATTGGTACTACAACAAATCTATAACAATAAAATTGCACCCCTATATATTATTTTCGAAGTGATTTGTCACATTTTCTCGCTACAATCACTTTTACAAAAAAATGATGTCATGGCTAATAAGATTGATGACATGGCTTATAGTTAAATATGACATAGCAAATTACATTTATTGCTGATATATATTTTTGGTAAATTTTATAGAATATGGCTATAACTGATATATTACATTTAATGTTAATTTATATTTTTGATAAACTTCGTAAAATATGGTAGTAACTCATAAATCAAATCATAAATAAAAATAAATATATTGAAATATGCATTATGAATTTTAAAATGTTATTTAATATTAATTTTTAAATTATACAATTTTATAACAAATATTTCAAAATTGTTTACATTTTTTTTTAAAAAATAATTTTTTAATCGTAATATCATGAGTTTCTTTTAGATATCGATAATTTTATAAATATTGTTTAGTTATAATTTTTAATAACTATACAATTTTTATATTAATTTTCTCAGTAATTTAATACAAGTTGGTTTAATATATTTAAAAAATAAAGTTAAAAAATTATAAGATTCTAGTTTTAAATATATTACGTATACATTATTGAATATAATTTAATACAAACAAATTTACTTTTTCTAAATTTTATGTTTAATTAGATCAAATTTCTATTAAATAATAGTTAAAATAATAAAATATATAATATTAATAAATTTTGTTTTAAATATAATTTAACTTTTAAAAGTTTATCACCGTAAATGATATAGAAAAAACCTAGTTTTTAATAAATGTTTTTTACTTGAAGTAGTCCATGTGTTTAAAGTGCGTCAAACCCCAAAGGCGATATAGAGGCGATAAAAGGTTTTCGAGATGATCTATTTTGAGATTTACGAAAGCCTGTGTTCTACTGTCCCTTGACCGTAGTAGTGTTGTCTTCCCTTGCAACGAAGCTAGTTTTAACCCAAAAACGCTCATGCATTTGTACGACTATTGATCCGGTGGTACATTTATAATGTTTCTGGATGTTTATGATTAATATACCATAAATTTGACCCATTTATAGTCATGGTATATAAGTATTTTAATGTCTATTTATTATATTATAGAGTTTTTAAAACATATTTATAGGTTAAAGAATACTTTGAAAGAAAGTGATGTTTTTGGAGTATTTTGGAGAGAATTAGAAAAATCATCCGAATTGAATATCGACCAACACATGAGGTCGACATAGAGTGATTAAAATTGATCAATGCACACTCTGGGACACCCATCAATATCAAAGCACGCAAGGCCAGTTCGTGACCTAGGCGACTTAAAGCCCAAGACTTCATCAAATTACAAGATTACCCCAGATGAGTTTTAACCTAAGTATTTATACTTTGCCATGGTGTCTTAGACAAGGAGAGCTTTCTTGTATTCTTATTTTTACAGCAAACGATTTTTAGAATTTTTAGAGTTCGAGAGACGATCCAGAGAGATTTGTAACTGGAACTCCATTATTATCTATCTATCATCTATTATGCAGTTTATTTACCTTGCTTGTGTTATAAATTGTTTAGCCATGTCTGAGTAGTTCACTTGTTAGGTTTAAGGTTTAAATAGGTTAAAGGGATTAGTCTCAACTATAGAATTACGATTTGTAATATTTATTAATAGAATGTTCTTCATGCTTATGTTCTAGAATTGCTACCTAGAAACTTGATCTAAGGAATTTGGATGTTTGAGCAACCTTTAAACATTACTGTCTTGAATCTATTATATTAAGCTAAGATTTGCGAGAGTATAGTGAGAACTTGATCTAGGAACCTTAGTGAGCATTGTTCAACCTGCGCATAAAGCTTAACTATAATCATGTTGATCGATAACCCCATCGGATAATCGGTTGACATAGTGAAAGGTGTATCGATCAATATTCCTCTAGAATAATCGATTGACACTGCTATTGATCGAACATCCTTATTTGGGTCAATAGATCTAGTTAATAAACTCATTCAAAATGTCAAGCGCTGATGAATTTGTTATTAAGTAGTTGAGCACTTTAATATCATTGCAAACAACTAATAAACACATATAGGATTATAATCCTTGATACCTAAATAAAAATTCTAAGTCTTTCCAATTAAGTTTCAAAACTTTAATCAATTTAGTAAGAACAATTGTCTTGCTCAATTAGGATTACTACACTGCTATTTCCTTTAATTTAATAAACCAACCTAGTCTTATTCACTCTGATTAGATTTAATTGGTTCCCTAGCTCCTTGTGGATTCAATCTCTAAGTACTACAGCTGAACCTCTTTTTGAGAGACTAATTCGCTCTGTAGGGTAATTTGAGTGATATCAAATTTGACGCCGTTGGTGGAGAGCTTTGATCACCATTAGATTTAGTCTTATAATTCTACGTTACTCTTCTCTAAACCCCCTTTTTTCATAGAAATTTTTTCTTGACTTTTCAAGTGCATGCCCAGCGGTACCAGAAGCATCAAGGAAAAAAAAATTATATTCTCAGAAGATCCTGCAAGCTTGGAATGCTCAATCCACAAAGCCATACATTCTAGACTTATCGATATCAACGCTCGTACATCGACCAATTTTTGCCACCCACCGTCAACCGATTCATCTCTTGATCGACATCAACACTTCATCGTCGACCAATTTTCTTCACCCAACATCGATCGATACCACACCTCATACAAAAATCAATACTCAACCGCGAGACATGGTTGAGATTTTAATTCTTATACCAGATGAGAATGGAGACCTGCATGATCAGGAGGGCCATCTGCATAATGTAGCAGGTCAGAAACTAGATGATCAGGGGACTGTAATCGCTGAGCTTGATACTGATGCTTAAGGAGCTGATCAACCTGTAGATAAGGCTGCTCGATCGAAGACCTTGGCTGACTACAACCGTCAAGATCAGTACTATGCCAACATGTTAGCTATTCGTCTTCCAAACATCCAGAGGGATAATTTCGAGCTGAAGCCGCAGTAGTACACACTCATGGCACATATACCCTATTGTGGGCTATTTCACGAGCATCCTAAGAGTCAATTGAATCCTTGAGGATTACCTACTTTTCAAGCTCTTCAAGTACTCACTTGCTGGCGAGGCTTCGCATTGGCTCAAGCAGCTACCACCAGGATCTCTTAAATCCTCGACTGACATCAAGAACGCATTCATGCGTAACTTCTTTGATGAGGCACATTCTGGAGAACTGAGGAGCAAGATTGCTATTTTTGCACATAAGACTGGAGAGTCCTTCAAAGAATTTTGGATCAGATTCAAATTTTATCAGCGAGACTGTCTACACCATGGATTCAATGAGGTGCAGCTCCTCAACACTTTCTTTAGAGGTATCGCTTTGAGGTATCAGATGGCTCTTGATAGATCAAGCAAAGGGAACTTCAACACTAGGAAACGAGGAGGCTGTAAGACTTATTGAACACTTGGCATCCAGCAGCAGCAAGAACACTAACTCTTAGAGGAAGAAATCTGTTGCATTCCTTGGGAAGGATCATATGGAGGAAGTGAGTGCAAAGTTTGATGTTGTTAACCAACTTCTTAGGAAGTCTGATCAGCTAAAGATTGATATACCATGATTTTGACCCACTTTTAGTCATAGTATACTGACGTTTTGATAACTATTTATTATATTATAGAAGCTTTTAAGCATATTTATAGGTTCGGGAGTATTTTGGAAGAAAGTGATATTTTTGGAGCATTTTAGGGAGAATAAGAGAAATCACTCGATTTGGAATCGACCAAGACAACGAGGTCGACACGGAATGATTCACGTCGATCAATGTGCACGTTGCTGCATTGATCAATGCCAAAGGCGCAGAAGACCAATTCGCGAGATAACCAACTTGAAATCCAAGACTTCACCAAAATAAAATTATGCCCCTGATGAGTTTTAACCTAGGTTTATATACTTTGCCAAAGTATAAGAGGCAGAGAGAGCTTTCTTATATTTGTTTTACACATCAAAAGGTTTTTAGGATTTATAGTTTGGGAGAGAAGATCAACATAGAGATTTGTGATTAGAACTTCATTGATTTCTATCTATCTATAATTATGAAGTTTTATTATCTTGCTTGTGTTATGATTTGCTTAGCTATGTCTGAGTAATTCATTTGTTAGAATTAAGATTGATATAGGTTAGTGGGATTAGCCCTAACTATGGGATCGCTTGTTGTGGTTTTCATTAATAGGATGTTCCTAATGCTTATGTTCTAGACTTGCTAACTAGAAACCTGAATCTAGGAATTTTAGACTTTTTAAGCAACCTTAGACAACTCTGATTATCCTGAATACAACTTATTAATCTTGGATTCTTACTACAGAGAAAAGGCGAACGCTTGATCTAGAGGGTCCATAGTGAGTATAGATTAACTCGCGTATAACGCTTGACTAGCCGCATCGATTGATATTCCCATTGGAAATCAATCGAGGTTGAGTAAAGTCTATCGATCGATATTCCTATAGAATAATCGATCGACACTGTTATTGACTGTGTAAGATTTTATCAGAGCTGAGGCTGTGTAGGTTATTGATGAAGTACACGCCTTTACAAGGAAAGAAAGGTCTTTAAGTGGTTATGGAATGGTCTGATGATATGTGTGTGTGTCAAGACCAGAATCGAGATGTATAAGAGAGTATAAGATAGATTAGGAGATTTAGGTTTAAGAAAGGGAGAAGTAGAGAGATTCTAGCCAAGAACACACACACTTTATTATGAAATAGATGAGAAATCCCCCTTACTCACTTAGGTTTACAAATCGCCAA